CTGATTTATGTAAAATTTTATTCCTTTTTCAAATGGTGCTATGTAGAACTATAGGAGGAACCCCATTCTCCTCCTTAGATTTTAGCTTTGTTACTCCACTCTCTATGAATGGGAGTTTACTACAATGGCAAAAGCTGTTTTGAATCACTTTTATGCTTTTCTGATGTCAAAAAGTCTCGTGTGGGAGCCCTGGAATATTACCTTATAGGGGCCTTGGGGGCAAAAAGGTTGAGAACCATGTTCTCTTCAGGAAATGCACTGTATTTTAATGTCATTTTTAATCCTTTCCCCGACTAAACTAAGAGACTAAGAGAGAGTTAGAGAACTTTTAAAGAACTATACAGGGGCTTAACAGGTTCTTTATACGGTAGCGGTGCTATATAGCACCTCAACCACCCCAAAGAACGGCTGAAGAAACAATTTGTGTGGTGTGTGTGTGTGTGTATGGTAACAATAAAATTAATAAATAATAAATAATGCATTGAAAAAATGGCTGTTGACATATATGTTTACATACATTTTATAGACTTGATATTCATAGATATTAGTAGAGAGATGAACATTTAAGAGCCATTTATTCTTCAACCATTCTTCAAACCAAAATTGATCATGGAACTGAACTCTTTGACACTGAAGGAGTGCAGCTGAATGCTGGTATGCATCTGACATGAATACCACGATTTAAACTAAATAGGACAGGAAGTAGTGAGGATTTTCGCACTGGATCTTCAAAGTCTGAGAAGGAGAGACAGAGGAGCATGTATGTCTTGCATTTGTGTTGTAGACTAGATAGTTTTTTTAGTGGGGTGGGGGCGAGAGAAAAAGGAAATGAAGATGAGAGGTGCTTCCCATTCAGACTGTTAGTAATGCAGCATTGCAGCACCTTCTGTGCCCAGGGACCCAGGGCCAGAGCTCCTCCTTCCCAAACCGGCCTATTCTCTCACTCTCTCTGTCTTGCTAACTTTCTCTCTTTGCCTCTTTTTGTTTAAAACAGAGTCAGAAAGTTCCAACTCAGATTTATTTTATAATGCTATTGTTCGTCGTAAATACAGTAACTTTCTTCAGGCATGGTTTGGTTTCTGTGCAGAAGAAAAAGGAAATCAACAACTGGATGGCATTCAGATGCGTTCAGCATCATGAGCCACAGGTGTGACCAATCATTTTGACTCCTTTGTGTCTCATACTGCATATAATTGGAAAATGCTGAACAGCTGTTCCCCTATTGGTTAATTAACCCTTTAAAGGATTCGTGCATGCAAGAAAATGCAAGCTTACAGTGTCACAGATTTATTATGAGCTGGTAAGTGATATATAATCTGCAACTGGAAGATTAAAGCCTTGCTAAAAATGAATTGTCATGCAACTCTTTGAATTTCCATGTAGCTACATGAGTTTTCTGCATTGTGCTGACAGATGTTTCATTCATTTTGCAGCAGTAATGGGAAGTTCGAATCATTACTGTGAATCGATTCATTCAAAAAGTTTAAGAATCAGTTTCAGCGTAAAGTCTTGTGCAAGCTATTTATAATGGTTTTTTTTAATAAAATTTTATTAATTCTAATAATATTTGAATTTATTATCTCTCATGGTTTCATTATAACATACATTTAATTTAGAACTGAAATACAATTTTCATTTACATTAAACCACTAATTTTAATCTCTAATCTAATTTCTTATCTGAAAGGTTTATTCACACTTAAATAAAATGCTTTTAAAGTAACTTTCACAGATTCCACCATATCAATGAAAAATTGGTTCAATCCAAATCCATTAATGCATATCTGATTATGAATTGTTCTAGTTTCAGTGAGTCAGCAAGATTTAGTCCGATTCGTGAATCCTTAAAAATATCCAACTTAAATTAACAATTCGTTCATGATTCAGATAACGCTTGTTACGTATCCGGTCCATGAACTTCCGTCTGCTAGCCATCAGAGGTCACCCTTTCCATTTCATTGACTCTCGCACTACACACTGTTGCATATCACCCCGGACTACATATCCCATCATTCATTACACTGATTGCACACAGCACTGATTGCACACAGCTGTTTCATATCACTCACTCACTATTTAACACTCAATCTCACTCCTTTCTAACTGCCAAGTATTGTATGCGCTTATCGCCAGCAGTGATAGCTACTCTACAGAGCCCTCGTTAGCTTCCTAGCCTAGCCTAGCCTAGCCTAGCCTTGTGTTGTCTTGTCTTGTCTTGTCTGTTTTTTCGGTTTCTGATCTTTGCCTGTTGTCCTGGATTTATCCCTTTAGTCTCGCCCTTTTGATTCTGTTCGCCGTTCGTTGACCTTCGCTAGCCATAGGATTATTCTTGTGTCTTGTCCGTCATATACCTGTTTGCCATTGTTCGACCCTGCCTGTGTTTCTGACCTCTCTGCTTTAAATAGAGCTTGCACATCTCACGTCTCGTCAGCCCCGTAACAACGCTACTCAGCAGACCACTTTTCTGTGCCTGTTCAAAGAGACAATTCTTTCCCCCTGAGAATATCTTGAAAAGGTCCATTTTACAGTCCAACATTATGTAAAGAGTTCCTTATGAAGCACTTTAGTTTAGTTTTATGGCACACTGTGTGATTTTGACAGATGGATATTCAGCAGCATGAAATCAGAAGTCTATTTATCTGTGCTTTGGTAAGATTCCTCCATCTCTGCTCTGACGCTCATCTCCAACACATAATGGAACATTCCACCTCCTGTGGGTTCTTCACAACTTACGTAACCTGCTATCAAATAAGCAATAAGTATTTTTTTGAATACCACAGATTCTGAAGGTAGAACGATGGTAATAAAACACAGGTTAAAGGAGTCTGGCTTACATAACCTCAGCATACCATTGTTTTAATTGAAGAAACTCAGTGAGGTTTTTCTGAAAGAAAAAAACCCCCACACAAAATACATGCATGATAAAAACACCTTCAATTATGCACCAATAAAAAAGGTTTATATATGTGAAAACAAGCGAAGATGTACGTATATTACAAATTGATTTATGCAAAGGTTAGGTGGCCTCTTGGGTGCACAAGAATGGACTAACATGAAGATGCTGCAAAAATCGTCACAGAGATGACAGAATTATCATGACAGAGGCACCAGTGTATAGAGAAATATTATGGGACTAGAGATGAATCTGAGGGAAATCCTGTCCATGTCACACTAACCCAGTTTTGATACGCACTCATTCAGCGTATGGAAACTGGTAGAACTAATGTCAACATCCCAAGTGATATTCAATATGTTTAGCTGTGATGTGTTTTGATAGCGTGCATGTTTGCTCAGCTCTGGATGAAATATCACTCTCTGTGGCTTGAATGGAACCACATGAGACCAACAGACTCTTACTATTAAATGGCAAAATAAGCATTTTGAATTGGCCAAGTGGTACTTCCAGAAGAAATCTTTTGAAAGATGGCACAATATCTAAGACAAACCAATTTTCTCAAATGATTAAGTCTCGTCACGCAATATCTTTGCTTGTGCACTGAATTAGAATTACCATTGTGACATGGAGAGTTATGTTTGTCTCTAACTTGGATATTGGTAGTTTATGAACATAAGATATCAAGTCATCCTTGGTTTGTCTTTCTTTCTGGGTTCTTGGGAAACAACATTTTGTTGCATGACGTATTTTAGCCCCATTGTTTGAAACCATGCAAACCTCTAAATAAAATTCCTGGAATCCTTCAACTAGTGAAATATATGAGATATTTTGTATTGACACACACACAGAAATCTGCACAAAACCAGATTTTCTCCAGACTTTCCAGACACATGCACCAAAGAAGCCATAAATTATCCCCTTTTTGGGGATAACTACTATGTCCAAAGTGTGCGTCCAGAATGGCAAAAATCTTTCCTCAATTTACAAACATATACACTGTTCACACATGTGAACAAATATATTCAAACAATTTATAGATTAAAAAAATATGCACAATGTACATTTTACGTTGGACTGGTATTCATGTATTTTTTCAAAGTCTGACTTTATCATAACAGTAGCTACTCATTATAGAATAATTAATATAATAATATATTTTCATGAATAACTTTATGTAAGGAATAATTGACGACGGGCCGCCACTTTTGATCAAATTAATGCATTTTCTTTTTCAAAAACAAAATCTGGTAGCACACTCCAAATAATCCTGATAATAAGCATAAACTTGATGTTATGCTAATAGAGGAAAGCAGAGTTGTATGATATTACCAGCAACTAGGAACAGTTTTCTCAAAGTCGCTTTCCTATTTTTTCTCGCTTCATGATCGCTCGAGCTGGGTTTCTTTTACGGCAGTGTGAAATAGAAAATCCGGAGTGGATGGATAGCCGAGCGGTTACAGAACACTTTGAGCGGCGGGGGAATCCCTGTGGCTCCGCTCCTCTCATATGTGCTGCTCCAGAACAGCTGTTAGTCTGCGAGTTTCTTGGTTTCGAACGAAATAATCTGTCATATTTTCGAACTGTTTGGGGGTAGGCTACAAACTAAATTGTTTTGTCATATTTTCGAACTGTTTTTGTTGGCGAGAAGAAATATAAGTCAAGTTTAATTACTTCACTTTAATTAATTCTCAACCTGTGATAAGTTCGTTGCTCTTTTACTACCACAATGTTGTTGAAGTGCTGAATGTTGCTGGGTTCTAAAACACCGAAAATGCATAAAATCGAGTACCGGTAGCTAGAAATGACAGTTATTATTTGTAAATATTGTTAAATGTATGTAAACAAATATTTGTTTAGAAAAGTATTTGTATAATAACTTACATTATATCTGACAGTGAGTGGTTGTATTCGCGAGTCTCTAAAGCATCTGTCGCATCTTGCGCGAGCATGTTTCTCTCCACATCTCTCAATGTTCCACCTCCCAGCGACTTTGGCTCGGAATTTGGACGCGAAGACGTCACTGCAGGGGAGGACAGGAGGTTTCACTGCATTGGTAGGCTACCGGCATGACATTGTAGGATGGGAATCATATAATTCAGCCCCCTCAGCAGGTCCAGGTTTATATCCGAACCTGAATGACATGGTTCGGACTGAACCGTATAAAGGGCATCAGTCCACTAGTTCTCAGGCCACTGAACTGAAACCCTGAGCCGTGTGGATGTTAGTATTTGTCCAGAAGACCTTTTTTTCTCAACATTTTTTGTCTTGTAGGACATATAGACTTTGTGCTGTTTCAGTTGGTTTGCACATTACAACAGGTGAGTCTTGTTTACGTCAGAGCATTTTTATACTTTTTGACACCATAGACTTGACTAATTAAAATTTTCTCAGTGAAAATAATGATTATTTTCTTTCGTTTGAAACTATGCTTGAAAGACTGTCACAAATGTCTTCATTTTGTTAGACTGCTGCAGTTAAACGCTTTTAAAGACCTGTTGCTACTGCACTCAGCAAGTGTTCGGGATGTCATCTAATAAAAATGCATAAACCGTTTTTAACTTGAAACATTTTAATGCCTAATTGCACATAAACGTCAGTTTGAAGCATAGTGTATCTATTTATTGATATTAATTTACTTAATGGTGTGTCCATTTACTTGGACTTGTTAGTAAGTGTTATTGATGTATTTTTAAACAGTTGTGAATTAGGCTATAAATGAAAGTTCAGAATGTGAACTTTTACACAGCTGGTTTAAAAAGTCACATGATCACAGATGTTTAATTAGCCTATACACGTTGCCCCTTTGAAAGATGATGTCAAATCTCCTTAAAATTTTATAATTGAGACACATAAAATTGTTAAAGGGTCTATTATAATTTCTTACTAAGATTGGTCTGTAATGTAAAGCCAAAGAATGTGAAAACAGGAAAACACAAAGCCCCTATTTGTAGAAGTGTTGTTTAAATAATATTTTATTTTATTTTAATAGTTTTTGTTGCAATTTTTTAATTGGGTCTTATTGCCCAACTGAGCTTTTTTTTTCACTCTGTATAAAACATTGTTAAAGGCATGCGATATGTTTCATTAGACTATCAAATGAGTATTTGGGAATAAATGGGTTAATAAGATTTTATGTTTTTATATAATTGTATGTGTATTTTAAAGGAGTATGATACTCAGGAGAAATTTCTACTTGCTGCCTTTGCTGTTACTATGCATCAGAGCACTACCTCAAGGTAAATCCATGATCCACCTGCTCCTAAATTGTTTATAAATAAATAGTATTTAACATAATTTTCTGTCTTGCTATTGAGGTTTACTTGCACATATCTAATTCTGAAATTGAGATGTCCATATTACACAACTTGCCCATTATTCTCTGTGCCTCAAAGCACATCTGTGTTTGATTCATTAATAGAATCTGTATGTGGCATTCAATGCAAAACAGCTTTCAAATAGTTTTGATCTGAGATTATGTAATATTTTCTTGAAAATTGTAATGGGCTTATCTAATCATCACATAAAATCTATCTTGTGTTCTCGCATAATCATCTGTACTATGCTGAAATGCTTATGTTGACTCATTCAAAGATGGCCATGTGGAAGATGAATCCATCTTCGACCTTTTCAAAATCAGCAGCATCAGCAGAAAGACGATTGGTGCCAAGCTCTTCAAGGGCCACGACTGGGACTCGCCTGCATATCGCTTCATCCGCTTTGATCACATCCCTGCTGTGAGCACCCCGGCCCTCCATCAGATCCTAAAGCAGGTCCAGAACAATGAGGGCTTTGTGTTTGTGGCCACCATACGACAGGACAAGGGCTCCAGGGGAACCCTGTTTGGTCTGGAGGGCCCCAGTGGGAGCCGTCAGTTTGAGATTATGTCCAATGGGCGCGCCAACACGTTGGATCTACTCTACATGGTCGAGGGATCTCAGAATGTGGTGTCCTTTGAGGATGTGGACTTGTCTGATTCGCAGTGGAAGAACATTACGCTGTACATTCACGGAGAGAACGCTCACCTCTACGTAGGCTGTAGCCTCATTGACAGCGTGATCCTGGATGAGCCTTTCTATGAACATCTGCGGTCGGAGGGCAGTCAGATGTTTGTGGCCAAGGGATCTATCAGGGAAAACCACTTCAGGGTAAGAGCAGTTCTTCTCGATGAACATCATCTGAACTTCATTCACTGCTTGTTATGGAATTCCTGCATAAGTATTTTTCTGTGCTGTGAAAAAGGGAAGAAAACCCTTTTTCGAGTATCGAGAAATTCTATACTGTTTTTTTAAATAAAATGGTAAAATGATTTATCTATCTGTCTGTCTGTCCGTCCGTCCGTCCGTCCGTCCGTCCGTCTGTCTATCTATCAATCTATATGTAATAGAAAGACAAAAATATTATTAAAATTTTATTATATATATTTTAATATAAAAATGTGTATTTTTGTTTCTTGAGATAGATAGATAGATATTTTATAGGAACAGTGTTCTTGATTAATGTGGACTGTATGCTACAAATTCACTACAGTTGTGGCAATTTAAATCTGATTGAAGAAAAGGGTCATACGTTTTCTCAATTTGACATTATTATTGACTGGTAATAATCTCTGTCATTTTACAGGGTTTACTACAGAATGTACAGTTCCTTTTTGACACACCAATAGAGAACATCCTAAGAAACAAAGGTTGTGTGATCGCCAAACCTGGTAAGTATTCATTCATACTTCTTAAACGTGAAAACTTTAAAGGTCATGGAAAACCACAGAAAGTTCTTAAAGCATGTTCACTTTAAGAGTCTGATTTTATGACCTTTGGCTTATTAATGTTGGACTAGTGCTTCAGGGCTGAGATTAGGCTCTCATAATGCTTGAACTCCTGAATCTTCTAGGTTTCAGAAGCTCTATTGGATTTATTCTTTGCAGTTCAGGATCAAATTTGTTTTAAGAGGGTTGGTATGTTTTCCGTTGGATTCAGTTTTCATTTTAAGCTTTTCTGGCTTTCACCTAAGTGGGTCATGAAATCTGCAGATCAGAGCTGTGGAAATTTCTGACCATATTACATCAAGTTTATGGGAAATGCTTGTGTTAGTGTGGTGGTATAAGGGTCAACCAGTTTGCACATGCCATAAAGAGAATAAATATTGTCATATACATTGGCAGGGTGTTCTTTAAGAGAAGGTGGAAAAATGGAATAAGTACATACTCATAATTTTATACACACACTAGTAAGATCACAAACTGGCTGGTTTGACTGAAAGCTTTGGTTTCCAGCTAGGGCTCAACACTCTTTGGACCAGTTTTTGAAACATTCACTTGCCCTTTGTGGATTATAGTTACATTGCCAGTGGCAATCTTACTTTTTTGTTCCTATATATCCTTTTTTATACCTTGCAAACAGCTTTGGAATCATTTGGATTTCTATGAAGTATACTGTGTTCTTGCTGCAATTTTAATCCATAATGTTTTGCATCAGAATCCATTCTTTTGCCCCACCAAAAAAATTAAAAAAATTAAAAATTTTAAAAGTACATTTGAATGAACAATATAAATGTTTTTTCCACCAAATACAAAAATAAAATATATTTTTTAAATGTGTATTATAATGGGGGAAAAAAAGTAAATATAAAATTTTATATTTGATTAAAAAAAAAAAACTTGCTGGATTACAGTTTAATGCAGAGAAGACTTTTGAGTCTATTATAAACTCATCCCTAGAGCTGGCTGACTTTTGTGCTGGAATAAGTAATACGTTTTAGACCGTGACAAAACTAATCCTTGTGTGAGATGTGAGGGTGTGAGTGTTTCTCTAGCACTGCTGTTTCAGTTCCTTTTAATTATAATTGAATAAGTATGCATAGGATATGTGCAGTCAAAAAGGCTTCCATTTCCATTGCCAACACGGATACATGCCAGCTGCTGAGCGTTATGGATGCCAGTACAGAGGTCTCTATAAACTCTCTAGTGCCCCAGTTTAGGAGTGCCACGTATAGCTAAATAAAAGTTAAAGTGAACTGCACAAAAGCCTGCCTAGAAAGTCACTGAAACAGACACGCGCACACACTCATTTTCCCAGCGTTGACTGAAAACCCCAAGAGATTTGAACGAGTTCAACAGTCTCTAAAAAGCTGCTAACCCTGCATGAGTCTCAAAGGAACCTCTGGAGGTAACAACATGGCTCTTGATTTATTGTCTCCTGTCCTCCATTAATCTGGAGAAAATTTACGCAAATGACCCCAAAATGGCTGCAGATATCTAATGGGAGTTTTGGCGCAATGGACAGCATTCCTCTGCTGTTGCGTATCCCATACCCCACCACCTTCCTCCTTTTGCAAGACTTGCTTTGAAAAATCACTATCTTTCTTTAAATGTTACTTCAGGGTAGCTTCTACGCATTTATTATACTTATGTCAGAAATATAGTGAGAGAATGATATATTCAAGTGTGTGGGTTGTGGAATATCCTACAAATCTGTTAAGTGTTTTATAATCCATGCACCGCTATAAAATCTCAAACATAGCTGCTGTATTTTGCTTATTCATTGTAAAGGCTTATGGGGCCACTTTAATGTTGTATTCATTTGCATGTATTATTTCAAATTAAAGTCCTTTTACTTCCTCTTTATTTTTAGGGACATTTCTGAAGTAAAAAAAAATACAATTTAAACAATAAAATTTTTTGACTCTGCATTCCTTTCTCTCTCAGAGGAAGTTAACGTGGTTAGTGAAAGTACAGAGACTGTGTCTGTTGGTATGGCCATCTCTACCAACTTCATTGGGCAGAAGGAAAAAATGGCATCGGATGTGTGCGAGCGTTCCTGTGAGGAAATCACCAACATGGTCCAGGAGCTCAAAGGTCTCCGTATTGTTGTGGGCAATCTCATCGATGGCTTGCAGAAAGTGGTAAATGTGTTTTACTTAATTAATGTGTTTCATTTGAAAGAGTATCTGAAACTGAGAAAGAACACAAAGTAAAATCTTTTTTCCCATGCAATTGCAATGAATAGGGGCTGAGGCTTTCAAGCATCAAGGTCACAACAGCACCATAAAAGTCTCATAAAAGTAGTCCATACGACTTGTACACTATACTCCAAATCTTCTGAAGTCATACGATAGCTTTGTGTGAGAAAAACACCTTGAAAGCCTCAATTCTCATTCATTGTAACTGCATGGAAAAGAGTGACCATTACATTTCTCTATGTGCTCCATGGAAAAAAAGAAAGTGAAGCGATTTGAGCGTACGCTAGTATCTATACTAATGCTTCATTTATTCATTCAAAGTGATATGGAACAACATGCGGGTGAATAAAAATGCTTGTTTTATTGATCTGAAATGTACACGTTATTTCATAAAGCCCCAATGTTTAGGTTGGTGGCCAATCTGTGATTAGGAGAATTTTATTACAGATTAAATATCTGACCGTGCAAGCAAAAATTATTTTAGTCTAAACAGAACCATTAAAGGAAAACAGGGCTAAAGAGGCAGTGGAAAACGTGAAGATGTGGGCTGGGGTTTTATGGTTTGTTTTAGAGGGAGATAGGAAGTGTGAATAGGAACCGAGTCGTGTCTGGCAGTGTTTAAACAGCCCCTTTATCCTCCACTGGGAGCTTCTCAGTGATGAGGGAGTCTGGGCATAATCTCTGAGAAATCCAGCCGCTGGATGCTGCGGGTCCCAAAGGCTCTTCCAGACCATGTGGTGTTCTGTTTCACAGCCTAACACTCATGACTGCTACCTATGCATTTTGTTCTCACTCACACATGCACAAATGAATTCATCAGCACACACTGAATGTGGTTGTGTTTTTAGTGTGTGTTATTGTATGTACTTAGTGTGCTTCAGAAGTTAATAACCTTTTCCCCCCTTTTGCATTCCTCTTGTTAGTTTTTTCCCTTCCCTCAGTCTCTTGTTCTGTCTCTTTCCTCTTTCTCAACTCTTTACTCGTGGCCACAGATGCATGATAGTTTTTGCTAACACATCTCAGGACTGTAAAGTTCTAGTTTGGGTGTTCTTTTTCATTTATTTTTTAAAAAGAAAGAAGAAAAAGGGAAACTGGCAAAGATTAACAAATCACAAATCTGAAAAGAGAATTTTTGCATTCAAACATTGCATAAGTGAAAAATAATATGATTTATGTTGCAAATGTCAAATCATAAGCATAAGACAAGTAAATTACATGTAGATCAAAATTTACTTGAGGACACTTTACTTCTGCATGGTGGTCAACCAGAAATGTAAATTGGGGTATATAGAAATAAATTAAATTTTAAAATATATTGAAATAGAAAACCGTTCTAAATTGTAGTATAATATTTAACAGTATTACTGTTTTTACAAATAAATGCATACTTGGTGAGCATAAGAAACTCAAAAACTTGTTTTTAAAATCTTACTGAACCCAAGCATTTGAACGGTAGTGTACATGGAAATCCTTAAGAAGCACAAAGTTCTTCATCATTTTCCACAGGTTAACACTGGAAATAAACTAAAGCATGGCAATATGATAGCAGAAAATGCAAAGTTATTTCCCAGGTCAAGAGGAGAAAATCATCCCAGATTTCCTAGGGCAGAGCTTCCTGTTCTTTGGGGTCAAGGACATAAATCCCCTTCTATACAGAAGTGCGCTCATTCCCTTTCAGTTTAAATCACCTCTATTTATCTACATGTGGAAGACATTGACAGAAGTATTGCCTCCCATTGACCATTTGTCCATCTGTCTTGCTTGCATCTGTCGGTTAGACTGAGGAGAACACCGTGATGAAGGAGGTGCTGGGGAACATGAAGAACATCAAAGACAAGCGCATGTGCTGGCAAGACGGCCGTCTCTTTGAGGATAAGGAGGACTGGGTTGTGGACAGCTGCACCAAGTGTACCTGTCGGGTAGGAAGAACTGTGACGTATGATGAATGGGAGAGAAAGAGCGAATGGCAGTCTACTTTTGTTCTGACTCTTTATGCTTTATGACTTTATGTTGAAGGAATCAAAGATCGTATGCCATCAGATCACATGTCCTCCAGTATCCTGTGCCAGCCCCACTTTCCTAGATGGTGAATGCTGTCCAGTGTGTCTGCGTGAGTAACATTTCTGACACATTGCTAATATTCACACTCTCATTTTCACATCATGTCTACAGGGTATGCACATTCAATCTAGAGATGCGCTGTCTGAAATAAAAAAAATTTCTTTGCTAATATCATTTGTGTGAATTGTAATTTAAATACCTGAATTTTACATCAAAGCCAACTTGGGATGCTTCTCATGCTAACCTTGTGTGGAAATGTTTTTTTTAAATTGTCCATGCTAGTTTTATACCCGTGGATTTCCCTAAAATTCATGTCTTGGGGCAGATGCACACATACATTTCTGTTAAAAAGTAGATTTCTATTTCAAATAAATGCTATTCTTCAAATGTTCTGTTCATCAAAGAATAATGAAAAACACTCCCAAGCACAGCCATTTTCAACTAATAATAAGAAGAAATCTTTCTTGAGCAGCTAATCAGCATATTATTATGATTTATGGATCATGTGATGCTGAAGACTGGAGTAATGACTGCTAAAAATTAAAGGGGTCATATGATGCTTTTTTAAAGATTTTTATTTTGTGTATTTGGTGTAACAGAATATGTTGACATGCTTTAATGTTCAAAAAACACATTATTTTTCAAATACTGTACATTATTGTAGGTCCTCTATGCCCCACCTCTCTCAAACGCTTCGTTTTCTACAAAGTCCCTCCTTCCGACAAGCGCAGTCTGCTCTGACCATCACAGAAATAAATTACATTTTAAAGTGTATTAAAATAGAAATGAATACTTCACAATATTGCTGTTTTTACTGTATTTTGTTCAAGTAAATGCAGCCTTGGTGAACATATAAGGCTTTTTTTTAAACATGAAAAAAATCTTACCGACCCCAAACTTTTGAACGGAAGCTTATACAGGCCAGCTTTGCAGAGAAGCTTTTCCCTCATTTTATGGTACAGAACTGTTATTGTTTTAAAACTGCTTGTGTTTGCCAACCACAAATTTTTATTATCCATGAGTAACAAGCATTACTGTATGTTCCCATGCTCTGAAGTGGGTTGAGAAAGATGATGTCATGTATAACTTAAGCTCCAAAACATCAGAAGCAAAGAACAATGTTGCCTTTGCTTTTTAAATATACTAGCAACAAAGAGCACCATGATGGGTGTGGTGGGGTTAGAATGAGGTGAATTGTGCCTAAAGTTAGCAGTGCTAAATGTGCTTGTACATTTATGTGTGTACAGCTAAAGACAGCGAAGATGGCTGGTCGCCTTGGTCTGAGTGGACGGAGTGTACCGTTACATGTGGAACAGGCACCCAGCAAAGAGGCAGGTCATGTGATGCCACAAGTAACCCCTGCAGTGGCCCCTCCATCCAAACCCGCAGATGCAACCTGGGAAAATGCGACAGTCGTGGTGAGACAGCCAGTCTTTGTTTGACTGTTATAAACTGCACACTTTCTTTCAACACCTATTCTTTGGTCATATAGAGGCATTTTGGACACCATTTTCCTGTCTGTTTTGTCCATAAAGTCTGAAACCTTGGAAGAAAACCACATAACAGCGGTTTAAGAGGTATTGGATTAAATCATGTTGCTCGTGACCTTAAGAAATGTGGTAGGTCACACCATAACTGCAAGTGCACAGTTTGTTCTCTCACTAATTTGTTTCAGGTGTATCAGCACATCAGAGATAATTGTGATAAGTAAAAGTAATGCACTCATCTGTAACGTCTCCACAGACCAGAGTGAAAGAGTTTGTGTTCTAAACGAAGTAGAAAGAGAGATCTGAAATGCAGCTGTCACAATATCTAAACAGCTGTAAAAAAAAATAACGGAAATGGAAGAAAAAAGAATCGGATTCACCAAGACTTTGGTTCTCGGTTTAGTTCCAGCCAAAATCTCTAAATCTTTATGGGAAAAAATACTTATTTTGGCTGTTGTTTTTGTTCTTTTGAGCTTTTGAAGGAATAATTCATCCAAAAATGAAAATTCGGTGATTTACTCATGTCGTTCCATACTTGAATGACTTTTCCATGGAAGATAAATGAAGAATGTGCTGGTTGCTCTTTTAATGCAATTACCATGAGTGAGGTCTGATGCTTTTAAGCTTCAAAATGATGCAAAAGCACAATAAAAGTGTCACAAACAACACTGAGTGGCGCTAAAAGCACATTTAGTTTTATCCGAAACAGATTCATGTGAATCTGGAAACATATTATGTTGGTGGTTGAAAGTATCATAGTAGTTTGGAAATGAACTGCATGAAAATAAAGCTTTATACATCGATAATCCACACCTTTAATCATTATTTGTGTAAACAAGATTTACTAACATCACTGATGGTCATTTCAGCTGGAAACAGCAGTGAATTGCATGTATAGGTAAATTTTTGGTGTTTTGCAAAAATGTAGGTTGAGGCATGTTTATGACCGTTAGTTGGTCACAAAAGTAGTTAAACAATTTGTACATAATATTGGAAGTTTTCTAAAAAACCTTCAATACCTTTGTATAAGGGTTTGAAAACACATTGAATATAGTGCATAAATTGTATGGATCACTTTCATGATGCTTGTTTTATGGTGCTTTTTTTCCTTTATAAAGTTGAAAATGGAAAAGAGCAACCAGTACAATTTGACAAGTTTTTTTCCTTTTATGTTCTTCAGAAGAAGTAAATTCATATGGGTTTGAAACAGCATTAGAAAATTTCATTTTTGGGTCAACTAATCCTTTAAAGCGGGTCAACCAAAAATCATTGATTTCAAGCAAGGCCTTAGCAACTATAATAACCGCAGAAGCCCCTGCCAACCATTCGCATTGGTAGTAGACTGAATGACACACAAGTGGTAAGCGGTAATCCTACTATGGCTAGCACCCTCTTACCTACATTTCATCAAATCAGTTGTTACTACTAATTGAATGTTACATCACTCAACTGATGTTCGTTAGACAAACTGTGATTTTAAGCCATTCCATTCCTGACCTGATTTTGTGGCAGTTGGATAATTCTGTAACAACATGGGTGTTTTCTTTCATCATCTGTTGTAAATATTTATGGAGCGTGTGCTAATAGATAAACTCCTTTCCATCAGCGAGGGAACGACCTGGTATTCATCGCTTATGCTCAGTGAGGTTTTAATGAGCAGCATATGGCTCTTTGTGGTGTACCAATGCTAACTCTGGTTTACGGTGGACTCAAATGTTTTTTTTATAACTACAAATGTTACCAGCTGGTATCTTGGACAGCAATGGACAAACTGGCCTTTGCTACAATTACCGCTCAACAATAACCATAAGTATTCATATGTTAAGATTTTTTAGATTTATATAAAATGAATCACAGTCTTTCTCCTCGTCATATTGTCAGTCCGTATACTCATACCCATGTGGTCGTGGGAACAGAATACAGCTGACAGTGTGTGAGGAGGCACACTTAATGCTCATTGTGTCACCACTGGCCAGATTATTGAGTCCCAAAGAGACGATGAGGTGATGGGTCCAGAATTGTAGGCCAGGTGGTCATCGCTTCATCAAGTTTATTGGCAGTCCCGCCCTACGTCATTCCTGGACCTCATGCCTCTGGACTTACTAATATAAATGAAAGATGTCATTGTTTGTGTGAGTTTGTTTGCTTCTTTAACGCTGCCTTCAAGTCATGTTAGAATGATCGTATTTATGGGATGAGTGCACATAAACACCTCCACAATTTTGTTTTAGCCCCAACTTTCCATTGGCAGTTTGGTTTCAGTCATGGTTAAGTTTTACTTGTGACTATTACAGTACAACTTCTGTGCTGTTGATAAATCTTGCTGGAAAACACAAAAATTATCTTATTTTAATAATATATACAAGTAAAGCTTTATTCAGGTCTAATGTATGTTGAATTAGGGGTAAACAAACGCCTTAAAGGGGTCCCAAACTGCCTTAGTCTTTTTATTTTGTACTGTTCTTTGAGGTCCACTTATAATATTATCAAGATTTTTACATCAAAAAACATCATAATTTATAATAGGCTATTTTCTGTTCTGTTTTTAACCCCCTCATCAGAACGCTCTGTTTGAATAGGTGTGGTGGATTGTAGACTCAGAAGTAAACGCCCACTGCTATGATTGGCTAGCAGTTGTTTATGTTTGACAGCCTACATCCTTCACAGATGGACGCTGCAGTGATTTAGGTTAAAAACGCAAGAATACTCAGTAAATATCAAATGATCTGTTTAACAGACAACGCAATAGTGATCACGTAATAAAAACAGTTACTGTCAGATCCAGTATAGTCGGCACAGCATCATCTTTCAGTTTCAGTCTTTCTGAAAATCCCACGTCGAATTGTGCCTTGTTTGTATACGAATCCATGGTAAAATTAAGTGAACATAGGACCGAGTTCTTACTGACGCGGTCTGGTTCTTCATTAAAAATAAAGTTCTTCCACTCTTTCCTAATGTTGGGATCAGAAAGAATGCAATGCTAAGACTGTTTTTCTACAAGATGCACTGCACAGCATCTTGTTGTCTTTGGAACATCTTTATCTTTTGATTTCTGTGTAGACCTGCGTTTGCCTCTTTCGTTATTTACACTACATGCACAAGTCAGTGGGTGGGGCTAAACAGGCAGTGATGTAGAAGCAGGAGTTGATCTACCTCTGCGGGGGCGGTGTTTAGCCACACTATTACATCATAAAGTGGTACATTCCACAACCTGTTGTTTTGGCAGACTGGCTTCAATATAAGCTGTTTATAGACTAACAAGAAAGTTTTGAGTTCTGAAAATTACAGGATGTTTTTATAGTACGTATAATGACCTCTTATATGTCAAAAGATCAAGGGAATTTTGGCCTCTCAGTTCATGACCCCTTTGACTTTGCCAATAAAGCGTAAGAGAGAAGAGAGAAATATACCCTACCTTTAAAAAGTTCACTTGGACGCACATCATATCGTAATTATGACTTCCAAACTCAAGAGCAGAGTCTTCCACAAGCACTCAAAGGCAGCATCTACCATTGTTTTTGATAACCATGCCAGTTCTCTGCCTTTCATTATAGTCCGTCAAGATGGTGGTTGGAGTTTGTGGTCCCCCTGGTCGTCATGCTCTGTGACGTGTGGAGAGGGACAGATCACGCGAATTCGCCACTGTAACTCCCCTGTTCCTCAGCTGGGAGGAAAGGACTGTGAGGGCAGCGGGAGAGAGACTAAAAAATGTGAAGCCAAACCCTGTCCGAGTGAGTACTGGGAGCCTTGCACTTCTTAATTTATGTATTAAACTTAGTCTTGTGAAATGAAGCTAAGACTATATTATACCGATTTGCATAGTGTGATCTTGGATGAAACCATTTAAATGGATAATTTGTCTCTGTAAACTCTTTTATATTCAGATTTTTACTGTATTCTCTTTGTCTTGTAGTTGATGGAGCCTGGGGCCCATGGTCTCCTTGGGCGATCTGCTCTGCCACCTGTGGGGGAGGAACAAGGACACGAACACGCGTGTGTAACAGCCCTCATCCGCAGTATGGTGGCAAGAAATGCCCAGGGGAGTCCAAGGACACTGATTCCTGCAACAAACAGGACTGCCCTGTTGGTATGTTACCTTGCAATATTTTTATTTATTTATCACTCTACACATATTCTCAGGGCTGGATTTACGAATAGGCATTCTAGGCACGTGCCTATGTTCGCTCGTCCAGGGGGGCCCAAACACAATGAAGAGATATATAATATTATTGTTATACTATGGGCTATCTACAACAGTAAAAGAACCAAAACCCCAGAAGACATTGAGCAAATATATATAACAAACAATAGGGTAAAAAAATTACAAACTATTTCCATGTCTTCCAACTTTTTTATGTAGGCTACGGAAATCACGCTTTCTTTCTCCCAGTCTCTCTCACAGACGCACACACAGTGCAGACACGCACACGCGCGGAGACATGAACAGAAACTTCTTGTCAGCGCTGCCCCGCGAATTTATCAATAAAATAGTTTTGCAGCTGAAAAGCAAAGACATTTCTCAGTTGCGAGGTTCTTGAAGCAGTTTAACTTAAAGATTCGCTATTAGTAGATGCTGCTGCTGAACGCTGCTGAGAGACGCACAGACGCAGGTATTCACTCGCGCTTAATCTCTCTTTCGCGCTCTCTCTCTCTCTGTAATAACCGCATTAGACTGCATTAATAACTGCGTTAGCCTGCATATCAATGGCTCAAGCCTCCGTTATTAGCTC